CTGTGGTGGATATTCGTACACCGTCACTACACGGTTTCTTAATAAATAAATTAAAAGCAGGTGTGTTTGGTAACCACTTTTATATTATTATTTTTAGAGTTCTTCCCAGGAAGATGTTGCCCATATCCTGTTTTTTACTCTGTCGCCTCTTACGACATCAACAAACCGACGATATGTTATATAATCTATGTAGTATAGTGTACAATACGAAATTGATCTTTGTTGATGTATATTGTGAAAGAAAAGGTTAATTATTTAATATTACCGAACGCATTCTAGTTAAGTATAATTTAAGCTTGTCTGTTATCGTTTTGTTAATGACCAGACGCAGCTACACGGACAACCTTTAATGAATGCGTAGTCCGAAAAGCGGAGTTCATTAACGTTCAAAGTTGATCTTAACTTTGAAACCTTTTATAAAAACTTGTTTATCAAAGGTAAAATATTAATTTAAAATAATACGTAGTACAAGACCACAACCATTGGGCAAAAAGGACTTCTGATAGCGTAGGTGTTTACTTTGTGTGTGCTTTGTAAAGGTTAATATTGAATAGGTTAATATGTGACTGATTTTTATGAAAATAAGGGTTTTTCTGTATCTCGCTATAAATTGTAATATTAACATGATATGAAAATAATTTCAATCAATTATTAAAACTATAAAATGTTATTATTACTTTTGTTAAAAAAAAAACAGGAGAAAACAATGAATCCAGAACTTCATGACAGATCTTCTCTCTCTTCTCGAACCAGTTGTAGAGTTTGAAGCTAAAAAAATTTCATAAACCTAAACTGACCGATTTTGTTGACTTTGACTTTGAATTTCCAGTTCTCGTTTTCAGTTCAATTTCTCGTTCTGTCTATGATGTTTTTGTTATGACTACATTGTGGAATTTATGGTTTTTCTGGCCGGTAACTCACCTGCAATTCCTCCGGTGGTGCGAATTTTTTTTTTTTATAAAACTAAAGTGACCAACAAACTTACAATTCATCGGATGTAAATGGCGACTGAAGTTAATGAAAACCTGCAGGCAACTTCAAATACAGATGGTACGGTTACGTTCTCTGTCACCTCTGAGGCCTAAGATGGAATGCCTTACTTGTAAATGTACTAGTTATCTATAGTCAGAGCGAATATACACAGATACCTAACCAGACTGAGTTTTAGGCAAAAAAGAAGTCTTACCACCTAGTTTCGTGTGTGACGTGGCGGTTTCATTCACCATTAGGTGTGGGTAATCAGGGTATTAAAGTTACCGCATTTTAAACCATTAATGTCCAATAATTCCAATAGGCAGTTTTTAGTTGACTCACTAAATACTTTAATATTAGAGTTGTTGTTTTAAAGGTTCGAGTTCATGCTATCAACATTCGTTTGCAACGATATATTAGTGATTTCCTAAAATCCATACAATGGAGTTGTTAAAAGATATTTAAGAAGTCAAAAAAATATATGACGGCACCTGCACCGTTGTAGATGCGGTGGCGTCGATCTAGCTAGACAGAGTTCTTGTAGGCGACACGTGTACCGCACACCTGCGGCATTGCACCTGCGTTGCCGCCCGTCCTGCTTGTATAAAACGGACTGAGCGGTCGCCGTTAAGACAGTCTTGGCTCTGACGTGGAACTGTACACTTGTCGTATTCCGTTACTAGTTTATCCTCGACTCATTGGATAATTAATTCGTGTAAACGAATTAATTATTATTCCTAACTACAAAATTAGTCTCTGTACTATACCCATTATACTTCCGATCGGAAAGTAGGAGGTGCCGTCACGGCCACACTGACATGCGTGCGTCCTCGCACGCGCTCCATCACAATTTTAGTTATCTGTAACAACTGTAATCTGTAAAACATCGTTCGATTATCCTGACAAAACAGCGTCTGGTCCGGTCTATACTGACCCTTCAGACTCGGGTGATAATCAGTTTTGTTCCGGCAGTAAGCCCTACAAAACTTTTATCACCTTTATGCTAGATCGGAATGATTAGTCTGTAGCTTTTTCTATTTTCTCTTTTTTTTTTTCAAGTACTGTTTTCGCTAGTCCGGAATCACTATTCCCTATAGCTATATCACTGGACCGGCACAAAGCCCTGCAATGATTGTAAGAACTATTCTTTTTTCTTAACCTCTTTTTTTTCAGTACTATTTATGCTAGTCCGGAATCACTATTCCCTGTAGCTATATCATTGGACCGGCAAACGCCCTGCAATGATAGTAAGAACCACATTTTTTTCTTACTCTCCTTTTTTTCAATTCAGTATAGAACAGTTACAGACCAACCATACCGCAAACATGTCCCCGTTACAATCACACAAAAGTGTATCGTGAGGGACGTAGTGACACGATAACACCTAAGTATGTAAACCTACAGCAACTTGACACATCGCAGTGCAGCACAGACCAGCCTCCCTGCAACTTCATGTTCCTTTCCTGCACTAGAATAATTACTTCGCTAGAGTGTTGCAACGTCTCTAGTATTTTCTAGATGCACAAACACGGCTACTTCTGACTGTCGTACGTCCTCGTGCGGTTGACAGTAAACATCATACGGTCTATCAGTTATCACCACCTGCTAACAGATATTAACTCTTGTTAAATATTACAACGGTCGACCATCCCAGACTTTATTTAAGTCATGAACGCGCCGATATGGCTACATCCAGGCAAACGCACTTCAGCTTTCCGTTCTGCTGCGTCCGTGCCACATTTGCGCCAGCGAGCCGTCGCGCCGTACTAGCGCTAGCGAATCATCGCACTGCTTTGCAAAATTAAAAGAAATCGAGATAAATGTATTGCGAACCATGGAATTCCGAGCTTCCAAAATTCATCACATATTCTCTTAAGAAACGGCAACTGTATGACATTTGAAAACATTGCAAAAAACGGTAACTATGTGTAGAGACGGATACCATCACATATTTCAAAGGGAAGGAGGCAACTGCGCAAAATCTACGAAAGCCGACCAAGCCTCAGACGTTCATTTACAGTACTAAAGGACCATATGTTCGGCGGCCGCTTGAATTGCCTTGCCGTAAGATCTGCCGATAAGTTACAGACTGTAGCGGTGTAGGCTCAATCTTACTAGCGCTCGGCCGTACCTGACCATGTTCGATTAGCCGTCACAACAACTTCTTCATTGATCATTGTTGTAGAGACTTCTACGAATCTCTCGACATCAAAGCCCAATCTTGTCGACCACACAGTATTCGGAGCAAACTGCAACACTGATCAACACATTAGAACACAAAAATGTCACTTATTATTTTCAATTCCTAGCATGTTAAAGTTAATCCTTTATTTTGGTACATCGCTTAAACGTTTTGAATTTCAAAATATAACTGACGATAATCACGTTTCGCATGAACTATCAAATTACAACAAAACTTGAACAAGTTAATTTTTAATTCAATGCAAACGATGACTCGTCTAGAAAGCCTCAGACATTTCTTTCATGTGTTAACATATTTAGATACGTCAGAAATAATGAAAAAACCTTAAGGGTACATTTAATACAAATCGTACAAAAGGATTTATCTTTTGGCTTAAATAATTTCACTTTATCTTTTCTCTACACTTTAATGATACGACAATATCGTAAGTAGGACAGCAAATTTCATAACGGTATTTAACATAAAAACAGATTCATCAATGCGGAATGCATCATAGTCTTTCACAAATGTAATAATCCTCATACTATTCGAAGATTGTATGTGGGCAAAAATGGGGACTTTATCCCACTTCTGATGTCGGAAGTATAATGGGTATAGTACAGAGACTAATTTTGTAGTTAGGAATAATAATTAATTCGTTTACACGAATTAATTATCCAATGAGTCGAGGATAAACTAGTAACAGAATACGACAAGTATACAGTTCCACGTCAGAGCCAAGACTGTCTTAACGGCGGCCGCTCAGTCCGTTTTATACAAGCAGGACGGGCGGCAACGCAGGTGCAATGCCGCAGGTGTGCGGTACACGTGTCGCCTACAAGAACTCTGTCTAGCTAGACCGACGCCACCGCATCTACAACGGTGCAGGTGCCGTCATATATATTTTTGGGTCCTTAAAATGTTTTAAATACATTAAGTTATGTTCAAACCAAAGCAAACCCCTCCCAAGATGCAGGAAGCAATTTGCTTGCAGATATCTTTTAAACGTTTACTTTTCACAAAACTATGTTATTACGAATTGAAATATGTACGTATTACTTTCAATCTAAAGTTCTTTTTTGTAAGAGATATACGGGGTTATTTTGCAATAACCGGCCAAATTTTGCAGAGAAGATTCAAAATAATTAATATAGGCAAAAGGAGTGGAAAAATTAATTAAAAAAACATTCTTTACTTTTTATCTTTTTACTTATTATCATAGATATATTGCAGGATGCTGCAATTTATAGTCATAGGAATATACAGCGTAACAAAAAGCGACAGATAGGTGGATGGAATAGGCATGTGAGGCCGGCTCATGCCAGAGCTCGTCTTTGTTTTCAGTCATGGGTATATGTTGAAAAACCAACGTGGGGAGCAGCATACGAGGATATGAAAGAGTCACGTAAGGCTTTTAAAAGCAAACTCTAGTGGTGCCAGGATAATGAAGAACAAATTAAAATGGATATTCTGGCATCTTCGTGTGAGGCTAAGCAATTTGGTAAATTCTGGCAGCATACGAATAAACTGAATGCAAGGTCGAGTCTCTCAGCTCAAGTGGGGGGCGTGAGTGGGTGTCGGAATATAGCGAACTTATTCGTCACAGTTTAAGGTGGAACCGTGCAGGCTTAATCGTATGTTAAATGATGGTGATGCTGGGGACAGTGTGAATATGGGGGGTAGCCCGCTGCGCTTCACAATGAATGATGTGAAATCAGTAATAAGTAATATAAAGCGTGGGAAATCACCAGGTCTCAGATCACTCAGATATGCGGGTGTGCACCTTCACAGAGTCCTCAAGTTACTCTACAACCTATGTGTTGGTCATTGTTAATTACCCGATACAATGATGAGAAATAATAGAAATAAGACGGGCGATGCAGCGGATGAAACCAACTACAGGCCGATATCCTTGGCGACCATCTCTGCTAAGGTTCAGAATAGTCTGCATGATACACAGTTAAGTAAGACAGTTAAGTTCCATGATGCTCAGTTCGGGTTTAGGCCTGAACTATCAACGGAGAGCGAAATACTGTGTCTCAAGCAGACAGTGCGGTACTACACGGACAAGAAGACTCAGGTGTATGTGTGTTTCATGGATTTGTCTAAAGCCTTCGACCGAGTGTCTTATAAAATCCTATGGCAAAAACTAAGACGGGAAAGTAGCTTGAGACCAGAGTTGGTTTCACTGTTGAAATATTGGTACGGTAACCACACTAACACAGTTAGATGGGGTAACGCCTTAAGTGATCCCTACAAACTAGAGTGTGTGGAGTGAGTGTGTGAGTGGGGCAGGGTGGGCTGACGTCACCCAGGCTGTTTAATCTTTATGTTAACAGACTGATTGAGAGGCGCAGCAGAGCAGGTGTACGGTTGCTCAATAGACGGTGTATCGATGAATAATTTTAGTTACGCAGACGACATGGTTCTGTTGAGCCCCTCAGTCAGAGGGCTTCGAAAGCTGTTGAAAATTTGTGAAGCATATGCCGAGGAGACTGGACTCAGTTACAACTCAAAAAAGAGTGAATTTATTGTCTTCAGAGGTAAAAACTTGATTTCACGCCACGTATCCAGCTATGTGGGATTCCTCTGAGACAAGTGGCTGAGTTTACTGAGGTACTGTACTGTAACTGAACGCCTGGATGATGACAGTGACATTGAACGAGAGCGCCAAGCGCTGTCGGTCCGGGGCAATATGTTGGCTTGCAGATTTGCACGTAGTACGACTCAACTCAAGTTAACTTTGTTCAAGGCGTATTGCCAATCCTTTTACACGTGCTGTCTGAGGACTGACTATACGCAGCGAGCCTACAGTGCTCTGCGTGTTCAGTACAACAATATGCTGAGGGTGATGTTGAGGAGGGCTAGATACTGCAGTGCGTCAGCTATGTTTGCGGATGCTCGTGTGGACGACTTCTATGCGATCATGCGCAAGCGTGCCGCGTCCATGATGAGCAGGCTATTGAGGAGCTCCAACACCCTTCTCAGCACGTTGGCTGTGAAGCTGGATAGCCCGCTCTGGAGGGTTTGGAATGTTGCACACACCAGAACCAGGAGAATCCCCCCTGGAGTTCGCTATGTGAGGCTGGGGGTAGGTTAAGTTACTAATATAGGATAAGTACTATTGCGACTAACATTTTAATATTAACTTCTATTTTATTTTATACTTACATTAGGCTAAGTAAGTTTTACTAACAATCTATGACTATTGTTGGTCGAAATAAAGGATTTATTATTATTATTATTTTTGGGGTATCTATAAAGTTCTCTCATCTGGTTGGGCAGTATAAATATATAATTGTAAATGAAAATGGTAAACATACATAAATATGAATAAAATAAAATAAATACATAAAAAATACATAAATATATATAAAACCCAACCAGATGGAAGCCCTCGGCAGGGGAGACCAGACGGCCGAGGGTTAGGGGGAAAGGTAAAGAAACCGGCGGACGATGCGGGCGGTATCGAGGAGCACCGCCTTCTGCATTTGAGCCTGGAGCGGTCCGTCACGGAGTCCCAGTCGCCTCAGATGACCCGGGAGGCTGACTGGGATTAACCCATTCGCAGAAACGACCACAGGAATAATTTCGGTCGGCAGACCACCCCACATGCCGGTAACCTCGTGAGCCAGGTCCAGATATTTTGTCACCTTATCTGTTTCGGCTTTCACGAGGTTCTCGTCATAAGGAATGGTAATGTCGACCAAAAAGATCCTTGACTGTGCCCGGTCCATCAGCACAATATCAGGCTTATTCGCAAGAATAGTCCTGTCTGTGATGATGGCCCGGTCCCAGTAGAGCCTGGCGCGGTCATTTTCGAGCACGGCTTCCGGCAAGTACTTATAATACGGCAGTTTTCGATCCACGAGGCCGTATTTCAGAGCGAGCTCCTGGTGTAGAATCCTGGCTACTAGATTGTGTCTGTGTAAATACTCAGAGTTAGAAAGCGCCGAACAACCGGAGATGACATGCCTAAGTGACTCACCGGGATGGCGACAAGCTCGACAGATGTCGACGGCGCCATCCTTTAGGATGTATCTCCGATAATTGTTGGTCTTAATAACCTGATCCTGTATCGCACAGACAAAACCCTCGGTTTCCCCAAAGAGGTCACCGAAACGTAGCCAGTGAAGGGAGGCGACTGTGTCTACGAAAGGCTCATGTAGAGCCTTGTAGAACCTCCCGTGGAGCTCCTTCTCCTTCCATACGGTCTCCCGGTCGGAAATGCACTGTACTGCTGGGTCTTGCCATTGCTCGTTGGCTAAGGATAGAGGGGTCAGTCCTTTATCACAAGAAATAACGTCCCTATAGTATGGATCATCCGCTCTCGTCAGAAAGTAATTACGGAGGCTGCACACTTCGCGATTATGCATGGTAAGCGCGCTTAAAAAGCCGCGCCCGCCATGCTTCCGCGGCAAGTACAGCCTCATTACTGACGATCTCGGATGATGCATCCTGTGGGACGTCATTATAGTGCGGACTTTTCTGTCCAGAGCGTTTAGTTCGGTCTGAGTCCACCTAAGTATGCCAAAGGTATACATGAGAACAGGCATGACCCAACCGTTATATGCGTGCGTCTTATTCACACCGGACAAAAGGCTGTTAAGTACTTTGGTCAAGCGTGCATAAAACACATCGCAAACTGACTGTTTCATACCCGCCTCATCTACACCGATGTTCTGTGACATACCCAGGTATCGGTATGTTTCAGCCTCGGAAAGGGTCCTTATGTTGATGGGCATAGATAAATCTATGCCCTCAGAGTTAGCAACCCTTCCCCTTTCAACATGGAGGACCGCACACTTATCCGTCCCCAGCTCCATTCTAATAGAATTGCTAAAATCACAAGTGATGTTTAGCAATTCCATAAGATGAGAGCGACTGGAGGCGAATAACTTGAGATCATCCATATAGAAAAGGTGGGTCACTTTTGTACCTCCCCTCCGAAGCTGAAATCCCCTCCCGGAGCCCTCCAGTAAGGTACTGAGAGGGTTCAGAGAGAGGCAGAACCAGATTGGACTCAGACAATCGCCCTGGAAGATACCCCTTCTTATCCTTATGTGGTTCTCCGCAGCCGTCATCCGCTCGCCTAGATGACAAAGAATCGTACTCCACTGCCCCATACACTGCCCAAGGAAGTCTCTAACTGTACAGTCAACCTTGTACAGCTCGAGGACCCTCTCCAGCCATGTATGAGGCACCGAGTCGAATGCCTTTTTGTAGTCTATCCAGGCGGCGGATAGGTTCCGACGGTTGCGTTTAACCACTTTGCCAATGACCGCGTCAATGAGGAGTGGTTCCTTGGTTCCACGACCACCGCCCCGACATCCATTTTGAGCGCGCGACATCACCTGATTTGAGTTCAGGTGACGAGTGATTCTCGCGCTCAAAATGGATGTTAGTGTCTTATATATCGTGGGTAGACACGTGATGGGGCGGTATTTGCTCGGGTCTATGGTATCCCGGTCTTTAGGAACCAAATGAGTGATCCCAGTAGTGAAGAGGCTCGGGAGCGACTTTTGGTCGAGAGCCTCTTGAAATTGTCGGGCGAGCACAGCGTGACACACCACGAACCCCTTCAGCCAGTAGTGATGCAGCCCGTCGAGCCCCGGACTTTTCCAGTTCGGGGCCCTTCGGACCGCCTCAGCTACTTCGTCCGGCGTTATAATGACGGGGTCCATGGGCGTAAGATTCGCACACTGACTCACCACAACTTCCGTCCAAGGGCCCTCGCGGTGGTTTACGGGCTCTGACCACAGGCCGCGCCAGAATGCGACAGTGTCGGCCTGATTCGGTGCTTGGCCCGTTCCACGTACCATTGGTCGCTCCAATGATTTATATAGCCTCTTCTGATCACTCTGGAAGAGACGATTCTGGTTGAACCGTGTCGACCTCTCGGTATATCGCCGAATCCGCTTCCCCCAAGCAGCGATTCTCTGCTTCAGGTCGTCTATGCGCTCCGTCAGTTTTTGCGTTATATCCGGCTGGGACAAACTGATATTTGTCCCAGCAAACGCCATTCTGACGGTGCGCACAATTCGCGGCCTATTATTGCCCGACCTGAAGCTTATCAGCCTGCCGATGAGGGCCCTTGCCTTTACGATACGGTCCTCAATCCTTCTTCTCCAGGCTGGGATGGCGCTTCTTTGTCTAGTAGCGCGTCCAGCCGTGGGAAGTTTGGCGCCAACAATACGACAAACTGCCAGTGCGGCGCCAAAAAGAATTGAGTCCGTCTCGCAAAGGTCCCGGCTGGCTTCCAAATAGGTGACCAGCATTGGGTTGAGAGCCCTCACGACAGCCCGATTCCGCTTGCTTAGGGGTATGCGCGGGAGTCGCGGTCGATTTTCGAGAGGCGTACTGCGCGTTTCCACAATCGCCTCCTCCAATTTACTCCTCATCTGCTCTAGTTCTTGGGTGACCATTCCATCATTGCCTGAATCAACCAGAGCAGGGAGATCCATGGCGCCCTCTATATGTGGCTGCTGGTCTGTGGCCTGAAGAGCCGCATCCCCAGCTCTAGCCGGTTCATTCGATGAGGAAATAGCCTCACGTCGTAGTCGTTCGAGTTCGGCATCATCAAATATTTTCGAGCGTATGATGTACCGAACTCGGTCTGCCAGGTTTTGCTCCGTGACGGGAACTGACGGCTCAAGCTCAGCAAAAAAGCGGTGCATCCGAGCCCGATACGCTATCCCTCCAGTTTCTTCCCCTTTCGCCCTATAGTACGCCCGCAATGCGTTTATGTTCATATGTTTTGTCCAACGCATGCGGCGTATTCCACCAGCGGCGGGTGCCGCTTGCCGAGTCCGAGAGGACCCCGCCGACACCAAGCCGTCTGGTGGGGATGATTATTATTATTATTAATCTTATAAATTCGAAAACCAGTGGTCATACATTATATTAACGGATTTTACTGCGCATTTTACTGCGCACACATTTGTAAGGGTCGACCGGTAGGCAAAAACGTTGTTGCCCATAAATCACATTGAATTTGTTACAGTTTAAAATAAAAGTAGAAGGTTTATTTACTCGTATTTTCAAAAACTGCAATAATAGAATATCATTATCTATATATTTGAACTTAAACTTAAAATTTGGCTACTCTTTGAAAAATAACCCTGTATTTTATTATAATAAAGTTTTATATCATATATTACGTCGCATGGCTGGGTACAAGCCTCATCTCCTTTCTGAGAGGGTTGTGGTGCCTATTTCGGAGGTCTGCTACACGCTTCATTGCAAGTTGGCGCAACCAACTTACAAACATTACTTTACCTGTCACTTTTGTGAGTATGCTCCATTTTCTTTACAGTAAATGATTTAATTTTTAATTATAACCGGGGACGGGATCTCCTTTTAAGTATAAAAACTTGTGTTAGGAGACTCCGCTCTTCCATAGCACTTGCATGACCTTTATATATAATAATTGACTATAAAAATTAAGATAATAAAAGTAATTACATTCACGCCAAAGGTGCGTTTACGCGCAAACGTGTGCGTGCTTGCGCGCGTATGATTGTGTGTGTGTGTGTGTGTGTGTGTGTGTGTGCGTGCGAGCGTGCGTGCGTGCGTGCGTGCGTGCGTGCGTGCGTGCGTGCGTGCGTGCGTGCGTGCGTGCGTGCGTGCGAGCGTGCGAGCGTGCGTGCGTGCGTGCGTGCGTGCGTGCGTGCGTGCGTGCGTGCGTGCGTGCGAGCGTGCGTGCGCGCGCGCGTGCGCGCGTGCGTGCGTTCGTGCGTGCGTGCGTGCGTGCGTGCGAGCGTGCGTGCGTGCGTGCGTGCGTGCGTGCTTGCGTGCGTGCGTGCGTGCGTGCGTGCGTGCGTGCGTGCGTGCGTGCGTGCGTGCGTGCGTGCGTGCGTGCGTGCGTGCGTGCGTGCGTGCGTGCGTGCGTGCGTGCGTGCGAGCGTGCGTGCGTGCGTGCGTGCGTGAGTGAGTGCGTGCGTGCGTGCGTGCGTGCGTGCGTGCGTGCGTGCGTGCGTGCGTGCGTGCGTGCGTGCGTGCGTGCGTGCGTGCGTGCGTGCGTGCGTGCGTGCGTGCGTGCGTGCGTGCGTGCGTGCGTGCGTGCGTGCGTGCGTGCGTGCGTGCGTGCGTGCGTGCGTGCGTGCGTGTGTGTGTGTGTGTGTGTTACTAATAAATTACATTATTTTATGATGCTTAAAAGAGCCTCAGTATCATCATAGCTCTTATTCAATAGCCATTTGGTTAGAGCATATTTGCAATTTCGGTAATTAAGGTGGTAAATATTTTTGTTTTTATTAATGACGTTGTATAGAGTCGCAGACTGTTTTACATATTGCCTCCTAGCTCAAGCGGTTTTAACGGTGACAGCTGTAGCTGCTACGTTTTACCTTCTTTTGGATACAATACAACGGTCAAACTTTATACTTTTATACAGTATTAGAACGGAATATAAGATGTACAGTTTCCTAACAGTGAGTACATTACTTATAGCATAGAGATCTTCTGTTGGGAATCTTTTTGGTTTAAAATGCATAATTTTTAACAAATTTCTCTGTGCCTTTTCAACTTCTAAAAACTTAGTTTTAGTAGCACCACCCCATACAGGAATACAATATACTAAAATAGATTGAGCCAGAGCAATATATATTTGGTAAACTAAATTTTTCGTAGCAATATTTTTTAGTGTTTTAAATGTCCAAGTAAGTTTCCTAAGTCTATTCATGATTAGTTCAATGTGCCTATGCCATGACATATATTAGTCAACTATGACCCCTAGATACTTCAGAGACAGTCAGTCGGTCACAGAGACCTTACAAATTAATGAACAGCGGCAACTAGTACTTAAGGGATCATTGCATGTGTGAAGTTTAATTTGGAAATTGATGTTAGCTTGAGTTCGAATATAATTTGTAAAACATATATAACTAGTTTTCAAAGTATTTAAAGTAAGTAGGTTAGAGTTCAGCCACTTGGCGTTCCTCGCAAGTCCTTCTTCAGCAGATCCATGTACAGAATCCCCGGAGTCACCACTAAATATTACTGCAGTATCATCTGTATAGGAGATTATGTGGCCTTCGTTAATGTGCATATTAGTTAGATAATTATGTAGACTAAAAACAATGTAGGAACCAGAACACTGCCCTGTGGTACTCCGAATGTTATATCAGATTCCTCGCTTAAGTATTCACCTATCTTTACTTTATACTTGCGATCCTTAAGATAGTTTTTAAATAAATCTAAGGGAATACCCCTTATACCCAAATCCTCAAGCCTGTGTACAAGGATAGGAACAGAAACGATATCGAATGCTTTCTTAAGATCTAAAAATACGGTTAAGCATTTTTTCATATTGTCTACTTTATTTACAACAAAAGAAGTTAATTTGAAGACTGCATCTTCCGTAAAAAGTCCTTGTCTGAAGCCATATTGAAAATTAGATAAAATATTATAGTTGTGGAGAACAAGGATTTATTAACCTTACATTTATTAACTTCTCAAGAATTTTGGAGATGGCAGGTAAAACAGAAATGGGTCGATAGCTACCTACGTCATCCCTGTCACCATCCTTGTACACAGGAGTTATAACTGCTTTTTTAAGGGCATCTGGAGAGATTTCCTTATTAAAGCACAGATTAGCCAAGTGGGTGATCACTGGAACAACAAACTCATGTGCCATCTTAAGGAATTCGCCCGATATGTTATCCCATCCGGGGGCACTACTAGATTTGAGCTGCATTAATATACTGTATACTTTCTGAGAGTGAGTTTCCTACATCCTTTGTATTATACAAAGGATGTAGGATGAGGGGTTGCCCGTCTATCGATAACAGTAGACGCTTGCCAGGTAGCACTCGAGTTAATAGTATCAGCTAAGGTTTTGCCAATATTTGCAAAAAAAATATTAACATAATTTACAGATACAGAAGGTTCAGATTTTAAATTTAACAGCTCTAAATTTTGGGTTTTATTACATTTACGATACGTTATCTTATTTATTGCGTTCCATATAGCTTTAGGATTGTTATTTGCTTTAGATAATTGCTCACGATCATAATTGCGTTTTAGTTTTTTAATTAAGTTATTGCAATAATTTCTATACCTTCGATACGTTAATTGTAATATTTGATTATAAGGATCACACTTAAGCTTTTTTTTGCATGTTATTTCTATTTCTTATACACCTTAATATAACAGGAGACATACAAGGTTTGATTAAACGTTTATTACACGGGATCAAAGTAATTTTAGTGTTATCTAGGAGGCATTTTCTTATTGTGCCTATTAGAAGTTCAGTTATAATGTTGGGGTCATCATATGATAAGAGTAATTAATAGAATCAGGCGTTACTTTGCGGAAATCCATTATATAAAAGCTTTTACAAAAATTTACTTCGCAAATATCCGCGTTATAAAATAAAATGATGTGTCTTACCTAGTATGAAGAAGCACCTCCCGCCCTCCCTCAATTGCGTGCACTAACCCCGTCACCACTAATCCCAGCACCGCTACTTCCAACACCACTACACTAGGCAAGACACACCACTGACGATAATACGACACGTGTTTCGCCTCTACACGAGGCATCCTCAGGTGATATAGACTCTACGGTGGCTAACCGCTAAGTGAGCGGCGAGCCAAAACAAGTGCCTTTTATACAAACCGATGATGCAACCGCTCTCTACCTAACGAGCGAGCGATTGCGTCATGCGATAAAACATGCGACC